ATTGAGGAGGGCACGTTCTGCATGGAGCACTGGGTGTTGTGCACGAACAATGAATCATGGAACACTTCATCTAGACCTAATGATGTAATGTATGGGGATTAACATAAGAATAAAAAAAAAATTTAAAAAAAATGCAACATCACGGGGCACCTGGGTGGCTCAGTCAGTTAAGTGTCTGACTCTTGGTTTCGGTTCAGGTCATGATCTCAGGGTTGTGAGATCGAGCCCCACATGGGGCTCCATGCTCAGCATGGAAACTGCTTGGGATTCTTCCTCTCCCTCTCCCTCCCCTGCTGCCCCTCCCCCTGCTTGTGTACACCTGCATGCATGAAACTCTCTCTCTCTGAAAACAACAACAAAAAAATACTTTAAAATGTTTAAAATGCAATGTCACTATTACCAATAATACCAGAAGCGGTCATGTGCTGTTTGTCACCAAAATAAATAGATCTAACATTTACTAAGTACTTATATCCTATGTGTTAGTCAATGTATGCTCATCAAACAATGTACCTACCCCCATACAGAAGCGATCACAGTGAACCCAGGAGCTGGAGGAGCTCTCCGGCGTCACACAGTCCCAAGGTGGCTGGGCCATGATGCAACCCTGCACCGCCCCACACTCTTGCTCATTTCAACACCCCCTCCCTGATAATCAGCCGTAATGAAAGTGAGCAAGGCTGAAACCTCATAAAAACTGATGGCGGGGGGTGGGGGGGGACGGGACACCCAAAAAACCCTGTCTTAAGTGTCCTCCCTGCCTGCCTAAATTCAAATCCATGAAACACTTTATAAAATAAAAATTTACAAAACACAGTGAAGATATTTAATCTTTTCCTTCAATAGTATCTTTCATTGCAGAACCAGATCAACTTCAATACTCTAGGCAGTTTTCAATAACACAGGATCACAATATAAGACATGGCACTTAAGACCCACTTATAATAATGAAATCTTAGGAATCTGGGTTTTGTTGTTTTTTTTTTAATAGAAATTCTACTATGACCCACCGAAGTCCATCATACAAATATATTCATGTTATCCATACAGGAAGATTTAAAACGGCTCTGAAACCTCTTGAGAATACATCGTTCATCCCTGGAAGCCTACAGATAGGCCATTAAATAAGCAGGTTAGTTGATTTAATATTTTCTACAATATCTGGATCTACCAATCACATTATCACAATAACTGTTCCTTTAAATATTTTTAATGAAAAATTTTTAAATATTTTCTACAATGTTGGAGAAATATAGACTTATGCATAGATAATCTAAAGCCAGAAGTTTCTATTTCCCAAATCATTATTAAAAAAAGGCAAACTAAGGATTAAAGTTAGTAAAAGACAGTCAAAGGCCAAGATTTCTAAATTATGACCTAAGTCTCCTTCAAAGCACTGACCACCTGGACTATAATGGTTTCCTAGCATTTTATTTAATGGTAAAAACAGCCACTGGAATGTATATATCCCAAACACTCCATTTACCTATAAGTCAGGTAGTTTCTCCAAAGAAACCCTGCCAGCTACCCCAACAAACTGCCTTACAGAACTGATCCAAGAAGAGGGGCTGCTCTGCCTGCCCATAAACAAACAGACTCACCCGGAGACCCGGGCAGAGGACCAGCTCTTTTTGTCTATGGAGGTTGGGGCAGGGGCGGGGGGACACTGGCACCTGAGTTACTCAGTTGGTTGAGCATGTGACTCTTGATTTTGGCTCAGGTCATGATCTCAGGGTCATGAGACTGAGCCCTGCGCGTTGGGCTCCGCACTCACTGGGGAGTCTGCTTGAGATTCTCTCTGTCCCCCTCACTCTCAATCTCGCTCAAAAAATAAATAAATAAATCTTTAAAAAAGGGGGGGGGAATGCACTCAGCAACTAGCAGAAACAATCTTGAGACAAAGGGCAAGATGACACCAGCAGGCACTGGTACTTACTAGTAGTCTCTAGTCCAATCTCTAGAGGAAATATAGAACCTCCTTCAGACATAAAGGGTATGAAGGAAGTGCCTCCCCAGGGATTAGGCTCAGGAGATGCAGAAACAGGGTGCCATTCTAGGATGTGAGCTGGGAGAAGGCTTTGTCCTCAGGCTTCTGGAGCTTGAGCAGGTCAAATACCAAAATGAAGGATCTGTTCCAAACATGATAAGAAGGAGAAGACCCTGGCTCTCGACACACTGATCTTTTGCTCCTTGTAATCTGCAAAGAGGATTGTGACTCATCTTTCTCTGCTCTTTCCTTACACATACGTAAGGCACTCCCCAGCTTGATGGTGAAGGAAGAGGGGCTGTCTGTAAAGAGCCCAGTGCCTGCACAAGAAGGATGCTAAAGATGCCATACCACCTCAGAGAGATGACACAAGACACTGAAATGGACTGGCGGGAATTGGGGCATTTTTTGGCATACCATTTTATAACACTCTGTAATGATACTAGAGGCTTTATGTGGACAGAAGTTTAAATCAGCTTGAAATATTTCCATATTTTTTTAAATATTTTTTTTATTTATTTGAGAGAGAGAGTGCACGAGAGAAAGCACAAGTGGGGTGCGGGGAGAAGGAGAAGCAGGCTCCCCCCTGAGCAGGGAGCCTAATGTGGGGCTTGATCCCAAGACCCTGGGATCATGACCTGAGCTGAAGGCAGACGCTTAACGACTGAGCCACCCAGGCGCCCCTATTCCCATATTTTACAACTAAAAAGTCATTAGGAAGCAAAAGAACTGTCAATAAGGATACGTATTCCATTCATGCCTGAAATCTTGAAGTCATCGATTAACTGTACTACCATGTCTTTATTTGGGTCAGTGGGATCACTTTCTCGAACCTATGGAAAGAAAAATTAATTCAAGAACAGAACCATTTAGGACTGAAAGTCATTTCCATTATAACCAGCCAAAAACATTTTAGTAGAAGTGATGTTTTTAAAAATAAAAGATTCAGTATTTGAACTTAAAAATTCCTCTATAAAATTTTAAGTCATTAATTTTTCTTGCATTATTCACATTTTCGTAGTACTTACACATTTGAGCAATTTTATTTCATCCAAGGCTGTCTCTGTATAATGCTGGGCACTTTTTACAACTTTCATTGCAACAAATCTCTTCCCTCTTTAAAAAAAAAAAAATGCGTATTTTTAATATTATCAGCAAAAGCGATCATTATAATGAAATCTATTCAATAAATAGAAACTTATAATAACCTTTCCTTTAAAATAGTACTTTTCCAACTGTGTGGCCACAATTAAGCAAGAGGCTAATGGATCAAAACAATCTTTTTGCTTTGTGTTTGTTTTTACCTAATAAAAACAAGGTGGACTAGAAAAATGTCAGAGTTCATCACATAGATTAAGGGTAATTCTTATTTTGTAACACTTCTGTTTTAGTACATACACATACACACCATATGTGTATGTGTCCTGGGTAGCAGCTCAGTTTCATACTATGGGGTCGTGACTTTTCTTTAAAAAGTCAGAAACCACTGATTTTAAAGGCCTAAACATGATTATTTTACATATGAACATTTTTCTGATATGGATGAATTACCACAAGAACATATGTCTGATATAATGCTATTTCAATGAATAAGCTTCAGATATAAAAGCAGAAGAAAGTTAATGTATTAACAGACAAGTGAACTTCAAACTGGCGGGGGGCGGGGGGGGGCGGATGTCTAGCCGGGCGAGGCAGGTCTGTGCTAAGTATGATACATGCACAACAGAAGCAGGAGAGCTCCTCAGCCACACCTGATTATAAAGGTTGAACTGGACCAGAAATCAAATGCACAAATGACAAAAGAACACTTACTGCATATCCCAGCACAGCCAGACAGTTGAGAAGTGTCCCCATCCTAGCTTCCTAATAACATGGTAGCGGCCATTGAAGAGGTCTCCAATTTTCACTGGATGGTAGCCACCTTTTATTAAAAAATAATTTTTTTTAATTTCAGAGAAATAGTAATAAAATCTCTTCCTTTGTGTCAGTTTTTTTTTTAAGATTTTATTTTTAAGTAATCTCTACACCCAACATGGGGCTTGAATTCAAGACCACAAGATCAAGAGTTACATGCTCTGCTGACTGAGCCCACCAGGCGCCCCCTCTAGTCAGTTCTTGATACCATTTAAGAAAGCTCTAAATAATAAAATCAGATCAAAGTATGTTTAATAATATAACATTTTTTCTCAAAAATATCTTTCATCAAGAGGAAAATGTCCTCTGCCTTGGTATTAGGCTTTCTGTTCATTCTGATTTAACTCAGAAAGACAACAAACCATCCAGTACTCCGTAACAGTAATTTCAGGCTTATATTTAAGTCTATGTGTACATAATATGCATATACCGGCTCTTGACCTTTCCACATGTCGCCGTCTTCTCTTTTAAGCAATAAATTCAATGCAAATCTTTTTGGGTCAGTAGAACATAACTCAGCAAAATAAAGATGTGTACTCTACCTCATTCTGCTTACGCCAATAGTTCATGCATAACCAACAAGGAATCATATAATGTACAACAGTTTACCCTCCAACAGAGCTTGCTACTCTCCCCACACTTCCTGCAGCCTCAAACCCCTGCTGAGAAACAAGCTGGAGAGAGAGAGGACACCCTGTTGAGGCAGATACTTGGGAAAGGTAAGGGTGCCTTCATAGATGTGTGGCATAAAAAGACCTTATTCTACATTTGGATGTAAAATAAGCAGGCTACAGGGTAGTGTGTAGAATATGATACCATTTTTGTGAAACACACAAGGAAAAATCTAGGGGATAAGATGTTAGCAACAAACATCGCTGGGTATAAAATTACCTTTATTCTTTTTTATCTATCTTAATTTTTTCTAAAACAAACAATGCTTTCCTACGTTTTATTCTTTTAACATCTGTTTTTTTATTGCAACGTTATCGCTCATTTTTTAAATCTACAGAATTCTTAAAAATCACTCAAAAAAGACTTGGATAGTTCGTTCCCACCTAGTGTTCAGAGGCTCAAGGCAGGTGCAGAAGTATCCAAGCCACATCTTATAGTACATCTCAGTATCTTTCAGAGGGCTAGGAATAAACTTCAAGAAATATTATGAATGTTTATGAATATTTAAACTGTTACTCAACTGAATTAGTGAAGCAGGAATCTGACCAGATACTGAGTTTCTAAGACTCTTACTCTCCTACCACTACATCAGCATTTCTCAGATTTTAATATCAAAGTCTTTAACAATATTCTGGGTAAAAGATACAAACTAAAGAATAATAAATTAAGAATATAGCAAATTATTAAACGGACGAATAGGTGGTGACTAAACTCACTGTTTCGCTCATTTCACAATATACACATATGTCAAGTCATGTTAAGCTTATACAGTACTGTATTACTAAATACATATCTCGATAAAACTGGAAGAAAAAATGGCTTATTGCTTACTTAGAAGGTTAAACTAAAATTGAAGGGGGCTCTGAGTTTACAATTTTTGAACCATTAAAATTAACACTGGAAGGGAGGAGGAAAAAACTTATAATTTTCCAAGTACAAATCAGGGGCACTGTGCTTGGCACTTTATTTTCAAAACTATGTTCCATGAAAGGAAAGTAAACTACAATATGCTGCAGGTGTTCCATGATGGGGGTGGGGAGAAGAAGGGAGGAGAAGTCCTTTTGGGAAATTCGAAGCTCAACAAAGCAAAGCAGATTTCTTGACCAAGGGGTTCTAAGAGCCCAATGTCTTAACACACAGTGGGACATCAAAGAGAAGAGAGCATGCTGCAAATCTCAGACATATTTGCTCATGAAATGATTCCTTTAAAAAAAAAAAAAAAGGAACATTTCACAACACAAAGTATTTAGGAAATGCTGGTGTCTATGTCATTTCTTACAACCACGCCATAAAGCAGATGGTGTGATTTCTACACACCAAGTCTCAGAGACAGTAAGTATTAGGTTCAGGGCTGGAAACTGGGTCTGACTCCAAAGTCCACGCCCTGTCCACCAGGAAGAAATGTATTTCATTTTTAACAACTGCAGGACTTAGTAACTGGGGAACACTTGATAGCTTAATTAAAAGCTACTTACTACTTAACTGCATATTATTCCCAACATTAAAGTCTCTAAATTTAAAAATAACTTAATTATGCATAAAGAGAAGAAATTTGTATCATTATGGTATGTTTCAGACTTGGATTCTCCAACAACCAGAGTGTGTACATGAGCAAAAACAGAAGAGCACTATATTTCCAATATAATCACAGCATAAGCACAGCCATTCCTTTTTCAATAGGACTTTGAAAGTTGAACAAAAGAAATTACTAGTTTAGTCCAGTTATCTCAGGAGCCCACAGATGATCTAAGAATAATGTACCTAGCAGAGGATTAAAAATAATAATAATAATAATGATATACTTAAAGGAAGGCCAACTAAAACAAGAGGGGGTAGAGAAGCAATTTTTTAATACAAATATAAAAACAATTAAAAGTACTAAACACTTATCCTTTTATTTTGGAAATACGACATAATTTCAAACCTATATTCCATATATTCTCCTACCCTACCCCCCAGATCTCCATAGAAAACAAGTCTCTTCTGATCATTTTTCAACCTCTTCGCATAAAAGGGTAAATAATATCCATGCTGCCAGAAGGTAGAACATGACTCCCCATAGCAGACCACACCAACCTGCCCAACACCCACAGAATTAGAGAAAGTGGACACTCCAGTAACTCTCCCAATTAATTCTACAATTCCGAGATCAGCTAACAGTGTGCACCACAATGACTCCTAGCAGTGGACACTCCATGGCCTGCAACACTGTCTAGCACACTGATAACAGTCACAGACTAGACAAGGACATCTCCTTTTGCTGCTTTACCAACAGGCAGTACAGGAATTTATCAACAGTGCTCCCCACAGACCCTTCTCATGGCATCTGGCAGAGTACCAGAAAGATTCAAGCACCTGAGAACTACCATGACTTGGGGTTTAGCTGACACATTTGTACTTCACTATTTGTATTATTTATTATAAAAACCATGCACTTATCACTTGGAAGTTGACCTTTGATTATTAAAAAAAATACTAGATTGGATTACAAATACTAGAGAATAAAAATTGATTGTTAAGTAATTAAGTTCACTTGCTGATTTCTTCTCCAACTCCTATCCCTCCAGCACACTGAAGAAAACTGTAACTAAAGCTCTACTCCAACTATCAAGGCTCCAAAGCAGACAATTCTAAAACTATCCTTCTTAGCTGTTCTACAATTGCTGGCCAAAGATGAAGATGACTCTCTTTTCCTTGCTGAGCCAAAATAGGGTCAATTTGAGTGAATCAAAAATTCAGAACTCTTACCATACAAAATCGTTTGGAAGGATTTTCAGCGAAGTATTTTCTAATAAAGGTACTATTAAGTATTCATTTCTTTTGTACCAACACTAGTTTCTCAGTCCTCTGATGGGGAGGTTTGTCTCCACAACCAGTGAAGGCTATCAAAAGTCTAAAGAAAAACTTGAGAATCACCTCCAACACACAAAGTCTTAAAAAAGGAAGGTGTGGTAAAAAGCAGCTTGTTCACAGAACGATAATACACATCTGGGATCACTGAAGATATCTGTGCTCCTTTCCTCAAAAGTTAATAGAACAAGCAGATAGAAAAGCAGTAAGGATATGGAAGATTTGAATACACCACCAACCAACTTGATATAATTGACATTTATAGAACACTCTAATCAACAGCAAATATTTTTTTCAAGTACACAGAACATGTACCAACATAAACCATATACTGGGCATAAAACAAGTTCCAACAGATATTAAAAAATTCAAGTAATATAAGCATGTTCTCAGACCACAATAGAATTAACTTAAAAATGAGTAAAAGAGGGACGCCTGGGTGGCTCAGTCGGTTAAGCGGCTGCCTTCGGCCCAGGTCATGATCCCAGGGTCCTGGGATCGAGTCCTACATCGGGCTCCTTGCTCAGCAGGGAGCCTGCTTCTTCCCCTCTCCCCCTCTGCTTGTGCTCTCTCTGTCAAATAAATAAAATCTTTAAAAAAAAAAAAATGAGTAAAAGAAAATACCACAAAATTGGGAAACTAACACACTTCAAAATAACCCATGGGATAAAGAAGAAATCAAATGGAAATTACAAAGAATTTTACACTAAATGAAAATGAAAACCTAACCTCAGAATCTCTGAAATGTTCTAAAACATTAAAACTTAAGAGGAAAATTTAAAGCACTCAATGCCCACATCAGATAAAAGATTTCAAATCAATAAGTTCAGTTTCCAGCTTAAAAAAAAAAAAAACAGAAAAAGAACAAATGTAACTTCAAGTAAGCAGAAGAAAGAAGAGAATAAACATATGAGCTGTAATCAGTGAAATAAGAAACATAAAAAAAGAGAGAAATCAGTGAAACCAAAAGCTGGTTCTTTGAGAAAATGAAAATAATAAACTGGCTAAGTTGACCAGGGAAAAAAGAAAGAAAACACAAATTACCAACACAAGTGAGGTGACATCACTACATATTTTATAACTATTAAAAGGACAACAGAGAATATTACAAATATTTTTATACCTATAAATATGAAAACATAGACTAAATGGACAAATAACATGAAAAACACAACATACCCAAACTCCAATCAAGAATTACATACCTAAGTAACTCTGTATCAGTTTCTAAAAAAATCAATTTGTACCTAAAAACCTTCCCATAAAATATGAATTGGTGAAGAATATCAAACATTTACAGGAAAAATACTAACAATTCTACAAACTCCCTGAAAAGTGAAAAGGAGGAAATCCTCCCAATCTCATTCTATGAAGCCAGCATTACTTTGATTCAGACCAATTTTCTCCATGATGTAGATATAAAAATTCTAAACAAAATTTCATCAAATCTAATCAAACAACATATAAAAAGGATAATACTCCATGACCAAGTGGGTTTTATTCCAGGAATGAAAACTTAGAAACCATATGATTAGCTGAATAAACAGGGGGGAAAAAAATTCTTAATATCCAACATGCATTGCTGGTCAAAAATCTGGACGAAGCAGGAACAGAAGGGCATCCGTAAAAAACCTACAGACAGCATCAGACTTAAACTTGCCAGGGAACTGAAAGAGGAGGGGGCTCATTACTAGATTAAAAGGACTGAAAAAACCATAAGAGTTAATGTAATGGGTAAATCCAATTAGGACCCAGATTTAAAAAGAAAAAAAAAAAAAGGTGTAAAAGACATTTCTTGAGACAATTAAGTAAACTTAAATAAGATATGGATTTATTTGTTTTAAAATATTTTATTTACTTATCTGACAGAGAGAGACACAGCGGGAGAGGGAACACAAGCAGGGGGAGTGGGAGAGGGAGAAGTAGGCTTCCCACGGAGCA